ACGCTGGCCCTCAAGGGAGGTGGATTGTGAGATCTCACATTGGTTGGAGATGAGAGCAAAGACGCTGACCCTCAAGGGAGGTGAATTGTGAGATCTCACATTGGTTGAAGCTGACTCTCAAGGGAGGTGGATTGTGAGATCTCACCTTGGTTGGAGCTGACCCTCAAGGGAGGTGGATTGTGAGATCTCACATTGGTTGGAGATGGGAGCAAAGACGCTGGCCCTCAAGGGAGGTGGATTGTGAGATCTCACATTGGTTGGAGATGAGAGCAAAGACGCTGACCCTCAAGGGAGGTGAATTGTGAGATCTCACATTGGTTGAAGTTGACTCTTAAGGGAGGTGGATTGTGAGATCTCACCTTGGTTGGAGCTGACCCTCAAGGGAGGTGGATTGTGAGATCTCACATTGGTTGGAGCTGACCCTCAAGGGAGGTGGATTGTGAGATCTCACATTGGTTGGAGCTGACCCTCAAGAGAGGTGGATTGTGAGATCTCACATTGGTTGGAGCTAACCCTCAAGGGAGGTGGATTGTGAGATCTCACATTGGTTGGAGATGAGAGCAAAGACGCTGGCCCTCAAAGAAGGTGGATTATGAGATCTCACATTGGTTGGAGACAGGAACTAAGCATTCCTTATAAGGGTGGAAACCTCTCCCCAACAAATGTGTTTTAAAATCATAACGATGATACGTAACAGGCCAAAACGGACACTACCTGCTAGTAGTAGTCTTTGGTTATTACAACAAAATGAGTTGAAAAGTATCATACCTGAGGTATGTTGTCTTCATGCACGAGCCAAAGAACTTGATGCTAGAACAAGTCTTCGATCTAATCCCGACGTTCACATGCACGAGCCAAAGAACTTGATGCTAGAACAAGTCTTCGATCTAATCCCGACGATGAACGGTTGATGTAATTTAGATATAATGAGAAATATCTTGGGGAGATTCACAAATATCTCCAAGGTGATGGGAAAGTGAAAGCTTCCTCTAAATGAATAAATATCAAACAAAGAGGATGCAAAGGTATCTTATCCAAAGGAACAGCCTCCAATCTCTGACATTTCAACACAACCACTGTTCTTTATAAAGGCTAACGAGTAAGAGGCTTCTACTCATTCAAATCTCAAGCTTTAACATATCATAGCGTAATGCAAGCTGTTCTTAGCATTGTTGTTCCTCCCCTTCTACCCTCCTTAACACCTTCCAACAACCTTTCTCATTTTCCCTCGATCCGCTCTCTCTCTCTTCCTCGTGCCGTTCAACAAGAAAAGTAGTTACCGCTGTCGCTTACGATGCCTCGGTGGTTGATTACAGTTCTGTAATCTCGTAAGTCATTTTCTCTCACATGCTTCTCTTTTATGTTGAACTTAAGTTTGAACCATTCATCGATATATTTAAGTGTCCATGGTGTAAACACTAAATTTATGTCATTAATAATAGTTTTAAGATCGAAACTGTGTAGATTTACTCCGGCCATAAGCTCGTATGGTTTTGAGTTCTAATGATTATGATCGGGAGAATTAAATCGTCAAATTTTAAAATGATAATCGACGTCTTATTTAATAAAGTATGCTTGAATTGACTCGTATGCTCAGGTTTGAGACAAGGTGTAATAAACTATATTCGAATTGACCCGTATGCTTGAGTTCGAGTTAGAGTATAATAAACTATGCTTGAACTGACCCGTATGCTCAAGTTCGAGTTAGTGATATGGAAAATCAACCCAAGGGAAAGTATGGAACGGATTACCTTGATGATTAAGATTGAGAGTAAAGAAAACTCGTTTCTAAACTCGTGATTCGAATCACTCCACAAGAGGTTTGATTAATACCACTTAAATGACTCTACATGCAAATTCTAAACACAAGAATTTGCAAGGAAAGTTTAGCTCTCAACAAAGCTGAAATAGAAATTTTATTCTTAATTCCAAAATCTGATGTCTAATCAAAGAAAAGAAGGTTTTATATAGCTCTTACAACCTTAACCTATGTGATATATAACTCCCAAATTAAATGAGCTAGTAAATGAAAAATACTCATAACCTCCATATTAAAAAAAGAAGGCTTTATATAGCCCTTACAACCTTAACCTATGTGACATATATCTCCCAAATTAAATAGGCTAGTAAATGAAAAATACTCATAACCTCTCTACTAAAATGGCTAGTTAATGGTGGAATATAGTAACCTAGGTGGGTTACAATATAACCTTTAACTCCTATATTTAAAACTAGCTTAAATATGACAAACAAATAGTTAAACTATAATTAAATAATGCAATTAATAAAATGTGCTTATTGACTCATCCTTGAACTAGTTTCATAAATTCAGCGGAGTTCATTAAATGCAACTTAAAGTAAATTTAATTCATCTCTTTCTTGAAGCTCAACTTTGCACAACATATAAGAGAGATCTCCAACGTCTTTTAGAATTTCCTTTGATGAGTTAATCATAGCTTGAATATAACTGTATAAGGTTTGTTGTAGCTTCTTAGTTCTCGTCCTTGTAATTGGACTTTGAGGTATGAAAATTCCTTGGTCGTGGTTCATATCAGTTAGGGTATAATAAAATATACTTAAACTGACCTGTATGCTCGGGTTCGAGACAATGTGTAATAAACTATACTCAAGTTGACCTGTATGCTCGGGTTCGAGACAGTGTGTAATAAACTATACTCAAGTTGACCTGTATGTTCAAGTTCGAGTTAGGGTGTAATAAACTATGCTTGAATTGACCCATATGCTCAGGTTCAAGTTAAAGTATAATAAACTATGTTCAAATTGACTCGTATGCTCGAGTTCGAGACATGGTGTAATAAACTATGCTCAAATTGACCAATATGCTCGAATTCGAGTTAGTTTGTAATAAATTATGCTCAAGAAAAAAAAAAAAAAAAAAAAAAAAAAAAAAAAAAAAAAA